TTAACAACTAATATATCACATTTTACCCAGCAACCCTCTAGTGCACTTTTAAGGAAATGGTAAAGACAAAAATACCGCCCTTGATGACTGATCAAGTGAGCATCTCGCAGCAAATACTCACACTATTAGATGCAGGGTCAGGTTTCTGTGTTTTGGAGAGGTTAATGGGCATGGCGACCTTTAAGAAGAGCAGTATGTCTTCATCCCACATTACTGACAGAACAGTAATGTGAACACTCACCAGAAGGTCTGATATGAAGATGAGACATTACCAGCGGATGCTTCTGTACATTCGTGCTGAGGCATGTCATGTTGAGCTGCATCATCATCTCTGACAGACAAGAGCATTAACAGGCTTAATTACAACCTTCAAAACAGATTTACAGCCCGCAGTGTTAACGTGATTGGGAACTTCTTGTTTGCTGCTTAAATGTGGGACTCATTAATGTGACAATTAAAAATACATAGTAGATAGCACATTTACATGCAGGATCTGTTTGAAAAATTGTATGGTCTGTAAAACATCTGCGTGTTCAAAGTTCTGATAGAAGCTCTGCTGTATAGACATCGTAATATTAAACACCTTAAGGACATTTATTTAATGTCTGAAAATAGACGGATAACTGACGTTTCGCAGACGAGCAAACACTTTAATGCAGGGGTGCTCAACCCTGTTCCTGAAGATCTACCCTCCTGCAGATTTCAGTTGCTTCTCATATTAAATACACCTGCCTGTATTTATCAAGTGCCGCTCAATTGTGTTTGATCAGGGTTGGAGCTAAAATCTGCAGGAAGGTAGATCTCCAAGAACAGGGTTATGTAAATTCCATGTAAATGTAAATAAACATGTCAAATAGACATCTCTGAGATGTATGTGTGCTACCAGGGGGTTACAACTGTGACAAAACTAACATCCTGATCATCAAATCTGCAGTTTATGTAAGCAATATTAAACTCGTAGCAGTGCTATATTACTATGTTGGCACTATGATTGGTACACAGTGTTGTTATAACAGCAGTGTTGATATACAGCTACATCACACAGCTACCATTGGGATATTGCATTTATACAGCAGTTAGATGATATAAATGTGGAAATAAAAAATGAAAAAACTGTCTCAAAGCCCTTTTGTGTGAGGAAGTTGAGGAACTACTTGCTTTAGATTCACATCTAATGTCACTTTATCGCTAATATATGAATTATTTATTTGCATCATGTAGAGAACTGTATTGTAAATAAACTGCTTATTTGAAATCTAAACAAGTACATTCTCACCTTAAAAATACATTATTTGGTCCAACAGCAACAGTATTTGTCAGTCTATTAGAATATTGCATGGCTTTCAGCCAATCAGATTCAAGAATCTGAAAACTCTTATGTGTGTGTGTAGATATAGATATCAAATGATATACAAGCAATTTCACACTAGTAGCGGTGTGATATGGCTGTATATCGGCACAGTTGAAAGGCGTGTGTTGCCACAAGGCCTCTGGCTGAGTGCTTTATTGTCCCACCAGTGATGATATACAGCCATGTCGCACTGCTAAGAGTGTGATATTGTGCTTATACAACAGTTTGAGGGCAAAATCATGTATATAAAAAAGAAAATCAAACACGAGTCTAAAAACCCTTTCTTCTGCTATTCATTCACATCTGCAGCTGACATCTAAATTCTTTAACACACGTCTTTGATTTCCAGTGGTAGATAATAAAAATTATCTTAATTTTCTTATATTTTCTTTATTTTCCTCTTTTTTATAAAAAAAAAACAAGTATACATAAAAGAGAAGTAATTTTTTAATGAAATGTAGTTTTCATGAAATAAAATCATTTATTAATTAATACATGCAGTATTTGACGACATCATTACCCATATGCATCACTTCACGACTCTTTGAAGCTAAAGTGAAACCGGTTGTTTTAGTCTAGCATTACCCTTTCCTGTTCTGGTCATGTGTCGATCTTGTTTTCATACTATCATGTGTCAGTCACAAGCTGACCTGCAACATTCAAAACCAGTTTGTGTAACTCTCTTCCTCTTCTTTCTACCCTCAGCTGGTCATGCTGAAGCGATGGCTCTTCCCAAGACGCAGAGTCAGCAAAGATGCAAACCCTGAGCGGGTATGAGCTTTTTCCAGAAAGCATGAAGTACCGGAGCCGTACTTCAGTCAGACTAGCCCCAAATGGAGATGTTGGGATGAAGCTTAAAGGTACAGGCCTCCTCCACAAAGGGACATTAGTGGGACACACAGACACTCCACGTGGCGTATTGAATGTGAACTCAACTCAATGGCCCATATTGAGTGCGAGTTGCCATAAAACCTGACTTAGGACTTCTAATTTATATGGGAGAGTTAAGGGTAAAGGTATTACCCAGCAGTCTCATTGTCCGGTCCTTCCTTTCTCATTCTTACAGTGCCTTTCTTTAACACATGAATGAAACTGGTTCTTTCTTTCTGTCTTCTTCATCTGTCGGGCTCTCTAAATTCTTTAAAAACTGAACAGCAAGCCTGATATCTATCAAAAAAGGAGGTATTTCCTTCTCTTTTTAAAAGCATGCCATTTTTCTTTTGCTTGAAGTCCTTCACGTAATTGTCTCTTAGCGGGACATTAAATACTGACTTTGTCTGAAATTCAGATGCCACCATGTGTGTGGCCCTCGTGTTTATTGATCAACTGTTCACCTTCAGGTGTCTTTTAAAGGGATTGTTTTGTTTTTTTGGATAAACAAGTTGCGACTACTAACCCCAAAACTTCAGGTGTGACAAAACAATATACATGATTATGTTGTTCTGGGATCAATTTCCCTGTTTACTTTTATTTATTGGGTTATAAAAGGCATTGTCGTAATATAGAAGCATATCTTTGTGTTATTTTGATGGTCAAATTGTTTAAAAAAAATCTCTATTAGGTCTTAAATTTACTCTGACGATTTACCACCTTTTGTGTCAATCTGAAAATGTAAGCAGAAAACGGTGCCTCTGATTTTTTTTTTTTTAATTGTTCGAGCAAAGTTTGATAATGAACGTTACGTAATCTGAATGCCGTAGCATAATGAAACAGCCAAATCTGTTTATTAATTAAAAGTCTTTCAAAATCATGACTGCTTTGGTGTTTTGAAATCTCCTCGACTGGATTTAAATTGAGTCCTTTTTTTGGATGTCATTTGAGTGCCAGTTACAGGAATGCAATGTATATCTCTTAAACTGACGTGACAGATGCTCAACGATGGCTCAGCTTTTGATTGTCGGCTTGCTATGTCATGACCTTTGCAGTGTGTTCGAAAACTTAAAGCAGCTGTATGTAGAAAATCTTTAACCTTTAGAAGCATTTGTAATTTGCGACACCGGTGGCCATTAAGTGAACTACAGCCAGCAATCTATTGCAGGTGTTTGAAGTCATGCACACGCGAAGAAAACCTAAATCTATGCTCAAGTTAAAATATGTTGTAAATTGTTTTTTCGAACATCGACAGTCAAAAAGAACAACACAAAAAGTTATGTTAAAAACTTGGCCTTTATAGTGTTTGTTATTGACGACAACAGTGGCTGGTCAATATTCTTAAAATTAGTATCATGATTTTAAGTACTTCAACCATGTAGTTTCACCTTAATTTTGATTTAGCTTCACTAGACTTAAACCTGAGTGAAGTAGAGTGAATCCAATTGCTGTTGGCGACACCGGTGGCCATTAAGTGAACTACAGCCAGCAATTTATTGCTGGTGTTCAAACCATAGACTAAAATATAAGGACATAGTATCTGTGACGTCACCCATAGGTTTCTAAACGCTGCAAAAAAAGCTACAAGTAGGCACGGCTAACCGTTGCCATTTTGTTCGCGTGTCATCGCACCCACGGCGGGATACCAAACAAGGTCAAAGAGGTAGGGAGTGATTGGAGCTACAGACACTTGCTGGCATTTTGCTTGGACCTGACTTAGACAGACTTTACTTTGGGAAAACACTTTAATACTTTATTACCTGCGACTCTTTTGTGTTCTGACCACATGTGCTAGGCTGTACGCTATATCAATAAAGTGTTTAGACTATTAAAAACACTACCAAAATACATTGAGCCATTAAACATTGTTCATGATGATGTTTTTCTACAAGAACAAGAGTGCTTTACAGGTCTAAAGAATAAATAAATTATAAATAATCTTAAATAAGACCAATGCATTTATAGAGATGGTAATTTCACTTACCTTGGAAATGGAGGCCACGTGAATGGTTTGTGAGCACAATGAAGTGCACACAGCATGCTAAATCATCTGATTATTGTAGGAAATAATTCCAAAAAGCAACTGACTGTGTAAAGCCACTTGAAACAACACAAAAATACGATGTACATGCCGAGTTCAGCAGCTAATCTGCCGGAATCAGCTGAGGTAAAGTGACGGCGACCATCGGGACCTAGCTGTCACTCAAGTGGCCACGCCCTTAATTATGCAGACTTAACCTAATATAAAGGAAACGGAGGAGGTATAAAAAAAATTCACTCCTCTCACAGTTGTCAGGAAGGGTAATATTAACTGTATTAACCAAAATTGTTCTTTGTAACAGGCTGTAAACACCCTTTTTCCTGATGTAAAGTTGGTCATTCTGACAGTCGGCTCAATTGGAATTTGCTCCATATGGAGCCAGGACTAGTGGAATTTCGATGATTAGCAGTTTTAGTTACTTCCGTATTGGCTTTCCAAGGTAGAGCGGGAGGTTGCCACTTGGTTGAAACTCATGCACATGTTATGTCCAAGACGCTAAACCTAAATCTATGCACACATTTCAAGTTAAAAATATGTTAAAAGCTATTTTATCAAATATCTAGATTAAAGAAAATGGTAGCATGTATTTCCACTGAGCCTATTGATATGACCATTGTGACATGGATATGTTTGCAATTCACCAGCTTAATGTTGTAGTTTTAGATGCTTGTTTCCAAGAGGAGGAATATACCTGAATGTACCCCAAAACACAAAGAAACTGGACTGTAGACAGTGCTCTATTCAAATCACACAAAATTTATTGTTTTTAATTAGCCCTTTGGGAGGAGATGATTCTAAGCATTCAGAGTTAGTGCATCATAAAACAGGCACACAAGATCAACAGCCTCACCCCAAAAATCCCTCAAAACAGAGCGAAAGGCAACAGTTTGTGCTCCGTTCATCGGAAAATGGGGATGGTGTGAAGAGTAGTCTCTGTTTTCAACACACAACCACAATCCTTGACAATTAACTTCAATTAGTATGTTTGTTTTAAACCGGCTTGACTTAATTTCACACTAAATTCAGTCAGATTATTTAAATAAACACATACACTGTAATCACTGGACAATCACTAAAAGTTTCCTTTTACTCCTTTAAGCTACAATGACTGTTTGGGCAATGTTTTTTTCCTTCTGGATATTAGTTTTCATATAAAGTGTCACAAGATCTACAAATAGCTGCTTTTTTAACAGTAAAAACGGTACAAAAGACTTCTGGGATGTAAACCATAGGCAGTTTGGTGACTATGTATGTAGGTCTTAAATGCTAATTACATTAGCAATACTTCTCTCTTTAGTACTTTCAGAAGATCAGATGTTTAAAAACATGGGCTTAAGTAAAATGATGGATATTATATGATGTAGAATATGGACTAGGTTCAGATTTCCATCAGTTGATGCCCAAACTGCTGTCGTAGCTTCCCTTTTTTTGTGAAAAATTGACATTATCAAAAATGATAAACACATTCTATTTATATTCACTTCTGTGAAACCAAATTATTTCCTGCATAATTTTTATTCACTCTATTTTTGGTTATTTGTTAGCATCTTTGTCTTTGACCAATTTGTTTGGATGAGAAATACTTAAGAAGTGATTTAATGCGAACTTTAACCAATTCAATTTCAAATTGATTTATTAACCAAATTCCCTCTGTATCCTTTGAAATATAATAAATCTATAGTGCGTTCCTGCACAGAATAAACCCTTTCAAGGCTAGACAAAAGCTGCCTTCTGGCCACATTTCGTACATTTGATCGGGTCTAAACTCTTCCTTTTCATCCAGTGAGATGTTCTAGTGTGTACAACAGTGTGGAGCTGGTTTTTCTAGAGATGGTCTGGTCAAACCTGATTAAATGTTCAGTTGTGTTAGTTGGTCTTTGTGGTGACGCTGTCAAGGCAGTCTTGGTTTTGGTTGTTGGAACTCTCCTGCTCTAGTTTGAGAAGCGGGATGATGTCTTCATCCTTAGATCCCGCTTCCTCCTCCCGCCGGGCAAATTGTCAGTCTTTGTGCGCATGACCCTGTGGGGAGATGCTGAAAACCCGGATCCGTAGATGAGAGGCGATTTGCAGACATACGGCTGTGCAGTAACGCACCAGATCCACCAGCGACAGCACCTAAACATTATATCATTTAAGGAGAGACGGATTCATTTAGTTTCACACAGATGCTATTTGCTTAAAAAAAATGCAATAGTCAAAAATACTTTTAGAGCTGCACAATATTGATGATACGGTGATATGACTTGGTGTAATGTCAATTTATTGATTTCTTTATTATAATTTTTTTAACAATATATTTATAAAGTTTGCATATTATTACAGGTTACACAGTATATTACAATCATGTAAGCAAAGCAAACATTTTACATCCCAATTTCAGCCTTTGATAATAATGTTATTAATATTATTAATCCATTAATAATAATAATAACATGAAAATACAATAAATAAAAATAAAATAATAATACATAAAGTAGTAATAATATAAAAACTATTTTATTGTAAGGACAATTTTTTGGGAAAAGATACTTAAATGAATTAAAGTTTGTTTTCCAAGACCGTAAGGGAGATAATGATATTACCCTACTCACTCAGAGCTTGTTGTAGCAGGTTACCAACACTAAAACATAACGTATTCAATAACATAATGTCAATTACATTTATAAAACGCATAGTTCTGGTCTTTTATTTTTATTGGTTGACCCTTGTTCCAAGTGATTATAAATTGCTCTAAAAACATACACCCGTAACCTTATTACATCTCTAGCAGCTCTTCATCTGTGTGTCGCCACATTTCTATACATTTTGTGTAAATGTTTATTTATTTACTGAAATATGAGTGACCCTATTTAGTTTCAACACGATGCATTGTAAGTGGAGAGGCTTTGGAAAAGATGTTTCAGAGATTCTTAATTATTATCTAGCTTTCTGGAATACATTTATTTCACCTTGTATTTCACCTGCAACAACTACTATGTGAAGTCATGTTTGGTCAATAACTTCTGAATATATAATTCTACAATCACCTGATGTGGTTTCCTTGCATTAAAGACCTGTAAATGGCAAATTAACCTGCTACTGCAACTGTTTCAGTATAGTAGTAAATTAAATATGAAATAAATGTGGATAATGTTGTAAGCTAATTGACAGAGCACATAACTAAGCAACATAACTGTCCATTAATGAGGTATGTGCCAATGCTTGCAAACTCTTCTGTTACGCACTCTAAAGTACAGACTTTTTTTTACAAAAAAAGAAAAGTGCATACTTTTAGGACATAGTATAAGCAGGCGAATTGAGACAAAACAATGGATTGCAAAAGATTTTGTCAGGAATAACTTGTCGACAGGAATAAATATACCTCAGATGTGCATTATTTTGTATTAATTCAACAGACGAGAATGAATTATTTAGCTTTTGGTAGTTACTACTAGGGATGTAACGGTTCACTGTGAGTCGGTTGAAAATCGATTCAAATATGTGACAATTCAAATCGATGCAAATGTTGAATGAATCGTGATATATTTTTGAACAGAGGTGCAACAGGTGCTACCTGCACATCAGTGGTTAGAAAGAGGTGGGGGAGCAGAGTTAAAAGACAACGATAAAGTCTAAGTGCACCAGACAAAAATTTGTTTCAAATAATTTTGTTAAAAAATCCTGAGATTAATATCGTGAATCGTGAGATTGGTAAATCGTTACTTCCCTAGTTACCACACTTTCAAGATTTGTCAGGTTTTTGTCCTCCAAACAGCTCCTTTGTGTAGTATTAGTTTCTTACACATCCAAAGCGTTCTTTTTGTTTTGATGATATTTTTGACAACTGTAGGTTATAAAATAACTGAAATAATTTAGCGCAGTGAAATGGAACTGTAATACGGTAAAGATATGCCTGTAACTACTTTAGCTGTCTTAAAATCTTAAAATAACCGCAAACATTAGAATGGTTATCAGGCAAAAATAAAAAAAGTTAAAACAATATTCAAACACCCATCCTATTTTGTAAATTTTCAAAACTAAACAACACGGTAGAATGTTTACGAAAGTTAAAATTGCAAATTATAATTGGTGAATTATACCAATTATATGCAACGCCATTATGGATTGCTTACGTAATCGGGTTTTTTAATCTAAATACATAATCCAGATTACACACGATCAGTCACTACCCCGCAGTGCTCACCATATATGATCAAGTCTAGATGGGATACATCCACAGATACTCACATCAATATAGTTCTTTTTTTTTAAATATATATTTTAAAATTGCCGTAAGGGCTGGGGTAGGAATAGACGTTAATAAAATATAATTTTACAAATAAGTCTTGTTAAAATTACAGTTTTTAGTTTACTGTTTAGTTTGGGGCTAGAGTGCATGTAATAAAATACAATTAATAGGTCATTTAATACAACTAAAGCTACGGTCACCCTACACTTTTCACCCTATAGATGAATTACCATGTTTGTAAACATTCAGGATGCACGCGCAGAAAGGTGGCAGAAAAAAAATGGGAGCGCTAGCATTTACAGCAAGGGAATGACAACCAGTGCGGTGCAGTTTGTTGTTGTCTTAAAAATAAGTTATATTGATTACATATTATTTATATATATATATATATATATATATATATATATATATATATATATATATATATATATATATATATATATATATATATATATATATATATTATTTGCATAATGCTTTTAGCGTATTATAACAGCTTGTCATCCAGTAATAAGCACATTAATTCGGCAAAATGAACGTTAAAGTAAGCGGCGTTCATCTGACAGGTCTATTTGCTGTAGCACCCTCTCAATGAATATTGGATAAGACAAAATATCCAAGCATCCAGCCCCAAACATACTATCTCATTGAAGCTGCAAGTGATTTTACAAGAGAGAAGTTAAAGGCCTACAAGTCTTTGAATGCCAACAGTTTTGTTCTGTGTGGTCATGTGCAAGAAATAATGCTCCGTGATTACCAGCTTCAAATATTCATAGTGCTAAAAAGGGTTCTGCCTAGACGTTCTGCCTAGCCAAAGACAAGGAAAAAAGACCGAGCTATACAAGACCTGGGTAATTAATCATCAACAATCGAAACGACTGCATTCTGACAGCGAATTGCACCTGTACGGCAGGGTATGTGAACTTACACAGAGGTAAAGTTGGTTTTATATTCGCACATTCAGACTTTTTTCTTAATATTATAATTTCAAAAAAGTATTATTTGCAAACTCTAAATAGCGAAATCATATTAGCAGTCAATGACTATCAAAGTACAACATTCTTCACAGTCAAATAAACAGTGTTAGTGTTGTTTTTAAGTTAAACTTGAAGGTTATTTCAGACCGAATATTCAAAGTGCCATGGTCAACAATATAGGGAGTGTGTCACAAGTTGTCACTGAATGAATGTGTGAATATAAAACCAAGTTTACCTTAATATCTTACACTTTCACGTTTCATTCTAAGCATTCAGTGTCCGCAGTTTAATTAACCATATGTAACTGTTTTTGCTGAAATCATTGCTGCAATCAAAAATAAGTAATGTGTATGATTCAGCATAGTGTAAACTTGCCTGATATAAAATGAGGACTGCAGAGTCCAGCGTTTTTAATTAGGTCGTCTCTTAATTCAGGTCCCTTTTAACTAAAGACGTCTGCGGTTGGCATTAAAAGCAGTGTGGTGTACGGTAAAAATTACGTTTTCTATTTTTGGACTCGAATTTGGCATCCTACCGCACAACATGACATGTTTGCTATTGCAACCCGTCTTTTTTTGCAACCGGTAACCCATTTGGTGTCATGTGTGAAGTTGGTTGGTAATTTGTCTATAGGCTTTTATTCATACGCATGTGAATGCAACATGACCTCTCTGCACAGGTATGTATAATATGGAGCAATCGCTCTCTTTTTTAATGTCTAATCATCCTGTTTAATCTTGCCTCTTTTTGCATCGCCATATGACAGAATTTCACATGCTCAAACTCTAATGTAACTGTGGTTTAATTTTTGTAAACTACTGGCCGCAGCTGTATCTCTTCTAGCAACAACTAGCATACATCACAGAAAAAGTAAACATCAAAATGTCATTAACGGTCATGACTCACCATAGCGATCCAAAGCACGATATGTTCATCAATGTAGCTGTTGAAATACTGGTTAAGGAAGAGCAGTCCAGGACCGATGAAAGCTGTGTCTTGAAGATGAAGCTCACTCTTGGTCATGTGGGCCACCTGTAGAACAAAACGGACCTTGAAATACACCCTGACGCACTGTGGATGGTTCACATCTACCAATGCCAAATGATGAGTCTGACTAGATTTTAGGCTTCAGCATCACTCACCACTAGCTTATTTGAGATCTTGGCGATCACCATGCCAAACGTGAGAACATATAGGCAAGGATGGTGCTCGAAAAGGTGACTGGACGACTTTTTAAAGATGATAAAAGCCAGTGTGAGAATGAGTCCGATGTGGAGACCAGGAGTCAAAACACTGGTGTCCTGAAGAAGAAGAAGAAGAAGAAGAAGAGGTATACCTGTTATTCTACATGGACCACTTTCTTTTTTGCATTGCATTACATTCATTTTTGCAATGGACTGGTCGTATGAAGAACTTGCAAAGCAAGCTATGGCATTAACAAGCGTAAACTTAAAAAACAAGCTGTTTTCCAATCAATTTAGCACTTCAGGCTTTTTATTTTTCAGTCTAATGTGAAAAAAACATCCAAAATATACTCAAGTGTTTCTTTTGCCATGCATTATCAATTTGTCCCTATAGATTCAATTACAATCCAATGGAGGACCAGAAGTGCTGGTTAGAAATAAAATGATGAATCAAATTAGCAATCTGATAACTGAAGCATAAAAATGTATGTAAATAAATCACATTGAAATGGACAAATAAATAGACTTATTTAAATGTCTAATTAAATTGCTTTAAATGTCACCTAATAAAGCACCTAATAAATGTTTTTTAAATCTATTTCAAATATATGAATACATAGACAATTTTATTTAGTTCATGTTTTAAAACAGATTAATCAAACAGTAAAAATGTATAATCATTTTAAAAAGCTTTTTAAAAAGGCCCCTGGAAAAGGCTTTTCCCTTTCTTTTTGCCACTCCACCTACAACTGGTGTGTAGTGAGCGCACTGGTGCCGTTTTCCTGTGGCATTATCCAAGTGGATGCTGCACACTGGTGGTGGTGTAGAGAGACCCCCTCATGATTGTGAAGCGCTTTGTGTGTATGGCCACATACATTATATTACATTTACATTACACTTGATTTTCTTTTTCTTTTGCCACATGTTTTTGTCAAGTTGAAAATAAAGATAAAGTTTTAAAAAATGCCATTGGACAGTCTACACATGGGAGCCTCAAGTTGAGCTAAACCCTCTCTCACTTGTAAATGAAACGAGCACAAAACAATTACTTTTTTACTGTTTGATTAATTAGCATTATAAACTGTCAATAAACAATTATAAAATACAGTAAATGAAGTTATACAATAAAATGTATTTATACTTTTAAAACATTTATATTTACAAGCATTGTTTTATTACTTTATTAAATTATATTTGAAAACACAATTTAAATAAACATATTTATTTGTCCATTTAAATTGTGGCTTATTTTTATACAATTTTATGCTTCAATTATTCAATTGATCCTTTGATTCTTTGTTTTATTTCTAACTGGCACTCCTGGTCCTCCATGCAATACATTTTAGAGGCAGTTTCTAAAAATAAGATTCTCCTGCACTCTATATACTACGAAGGTATATTGAAATAAATAAACAAACTAAAACTAAGGAGATATATTTGATTTTTTTTACACCTGCCAGTCATGTATGTTGTGGGTTACTGTACTAAGTTACTGTACTTTGCTGCATAAATCTTCTCTTCAGCGGAAATGTTTTATTCTCATCTATATTCTGAACGTTCATATACCATATGCCTAATTGTATATACAATTCTATTCTTCAATTTTTTTTGTTTTTGTTTATGGCTGTTAACACATATTTACTTTCCAAATGATAGAGATGATAAAAACCATAATATGTCACTAACTACAATTTTGAACTTGACTTTCATGTTGTGATTCAATGTTTTCCTTTATGTTTCCAATATGCTTTCATTGTGTTTAATGTATTCAGTTTTCATGTGCAAGTGTGTGTGTGCAAAATTGCTCATATATTTAGTGAATGCATCATGTGCATGTTTAAACATTATCTTAAAACACTTGACAACTTTTTAAGTTACTAAGAGATAGTGATTCCAAAAGCAAACAATCACCAGAGGAAATACAGTATGGTCATAATTGTATATTTGAAGAGTTCAGATGCAAGTGCTATCTAGAGTTTTCTTCCACAATGCGCATTTCTCTCTGCCTCTTATGCTTATGTTCAGTTCTTTCATGTTAAAATTGATGAAAATAACCTACTCTTTATCATAAAAGTGAAATTACTGAATCAAGACATCGGTGTCTGAGAAAAATGCTTTTTTTATAAGAAAATTTCATATGGCACCTAGAGCTTTTTTTGCATCTGAACTTTTCATTTTGAGTTGTTTAACCCTATTCCTCTGCTGTGTCTTGTCTGAAGAAAAGCAACTGCTTTATAGAGTATAGACTTACTGCAACAGTTGAGCCGTTTTTGCCGACGCCACCGTTCATAATAACAAAGAAGTAGTTATAGGTTGAATAGAGGAATCCGCCGATGATACCAAGAATAGGAAAGGTTTGCAAATTCACACCAAGAACTGGCACCTGAAAAAAAGAATGAGGATGGCAATCACTTAATTTGACAATAGCCGTTATTTTGTGTCTCATGAGCATGGGATGCTGGGAAAGGAGCGGGGCTGAAGCTGTGAGCATGCTAAACAAAATGGGCAAGTTAGAAATGTCATCTGCTTTCTTTTTTTTTTTTTTTTTTTGCAAGATCATGTCTGTAGGTGGAGACTGATAGCCGTGGTTGCAGCTTTTACTGTACCTATATTTACCTGTTCTTAGACTGTTTGTCCTCAGAGAGGAGGCAGAGAGTAAAAGACAGAAGGTCTGCTTAAAGAACACAGACTTTTTACAGATTTTCTTTTACTAAATAAATTATACTACAGTCTGCGAAACCCTTTTAAATAAATTACCTGACACCATGTGTACACTGGAAGTGCCAGATTATATGTCCGTTCGTAAATGACATTATATTATATAACTGACATTATATTATATCATATTATATTGTCTTATATTATATTGTTTTAATATTTTATTATTAATAATAATTATGATAAATTATAATGTATCAATTTTTTACCTAAAAGTTTTGTTATTAGTATTTTGAATAAACATGTAAATGGACACAAACTGAAATCTACAATTATTATTTTTATTATCATTATATTTTGAATAAACCTGTAAATAAAACTGTTAATGAAAAAATGAACATATACAATTTTACATAAACTTAATATAAATGTAGAAATATTGTAGTGTATTATTATTGTTAGTATTGTGAATAAACATGTAAAAAAATAAATAACAATATAATTAAAAAATAGAAAAGTTAAGCGAATAAAAATGAGTAAAAATAAACGTTTAACCTATATTATTATTATTATTATTATAATCAGGGTTGTTTCAGTTAAACATATTTTAAAAAACTACTGCAGCTCAAGTGAAGGACTTTGTGATTGGCCACAGTAGACTCTTCCAGTGTAGTCAGGGATTATAATGAGGATGAAGTCATGAACGTTATGAATAAGGCGCAGCAAATCTGTATTGAAAAAACATACCCTCATTTCCCAAAAGCTCACTCCTGTAAATGCTGTCAACAAATACATGATTATAATAGCAATCTGGACCTCTGTCACGTCAACCCTGCAGAAACAGTGACAAAATACAGTAGCATTAAAAAACAACCCATACAGACAGTTCAATAAATTAAGTCAAATATACTGTCAACAGATGCACTCACAGTCCGAAGCGGAGCGTTCCAGACACGTATGTCTGCCAGTGTGCGCAGAAGAACATGAACATGCCCACAAAGCCACAAAAAAACATCCAGTTAGGATACGCGCCGATCCCACAGCATATACACGTTCCCACTGCAACAAATACTACAAGAGCAGTCAAGTTAGAGCGATGGAAATACACATTAGCAGAGGTAAATAAACGAATGGCAAAATCTGGTGCTAATCTGAGTTAAAATTGAGTTAGATTAGTGTGAAATTGAACAGTAAGTGTGCTGCGTGACGTGTCCTCCAAACTGCTTTGTTTTCCCCCCGAGCCAAGTGTATTTTTGTAAGTTGTTGTTAATGGAAGCACCATGCTTTTTAGAACGCCCGCAGCATAGCGAGGCGCTAAATGTCTGATTTACGCCAATCGCTTAGCTTTTCTTTTTTTTTTTTTACATTTTCATAAATTGCAAAATCTGGTGTTTAAAAACATTATTGTGAACAGTAAGTGTGTGTGTGTCCACCAAACAGTGTATTTTTTTTTAGTTATTGTCAGTCTCAAATACAGTAGGGCTGTTGTGCTAGATGACTTGATATTTCCCACCTTGTATCACCGTGTAATTTTTGTGTGTTAAACGCATCAGTTAAGTGTAGTCTATGTTTTACAATTGACATTTATGTGAAATGCCTGGTGGTTTAACTCCCAAAATCACTTTCAATTGTTTTTGAACTACTCCGTTTGTCCACAAGGTGTCAGTACTGAAAATAAAACAGGTGGCAAAAGAACTATAATACTACTGAAGACCAAACATCAACAAGTGCATGTGATTGAAATATACCCACAATTCTATATTAAAAGATGTAATATGATTGGAAATTCAGAAATAAAACGGCAGACACTGGACAAGGATAAACCTTCCTACTTTGGGCTTAAATATAAGCAATAGTAATGCCGATGTTAATATTAAAAACACTTAATAATACGTGCCAAATCTAATTAATGAAAGACCATTTGGCAGTTTTTACCTGTAGAAACTGCATCACAGCCATGGTCAAAGAGCTCTCCTAGAGCTGAGCTGCTATTGGTCCGTCTGGCCTGTTTTCCATCAATGGCATCCAGTGATTGGTAGATGAAGAGGCCTAAGGCGCTGAGAAAGAAAGCCCAACCTGGAACCTAAAAATGGTAGATCTGAATGAAAACTGGTACACAGACATTGATCAAGTGTAACTTCTTGTTGTTAAGTGTGATGTCACGCGAAGCGGCCTCCGGGTCCAAGCACTCTATTCAACTGAATGGGGAGACTCATGAAATGGTAATAATAAACGTTTACAAAGCGATTTAATGCTTTCGAAAATCACGATCGCAGTATATATGTCCATGCCTAATATCTGATGGCCAGAAAGTGATTAATTTTTTATAAATTGTTACATTTTTGGTATTTGTTATGCAGCAAACCCAGAGATTGTTGTGTACACTATGATTTTATATAAAATTAACTTTAATGTGTGATAGGAATAAAAAGTGATTATGAACGAATGATTTCTCCACTCAAATGAATGGCGGCTTGGACCCGGAAACAGTATACATACATCACAAACATGTCACCACTTAACAAGCAGATAAACCAGATGTTTCTACTGACTTATTATTGTGATGAATTTCAGTCTGAAACAGAATATTGTAATGAGATGTTGGTGGCCATATTAATATTGGCAGATAAGTGTTTTTATGTTATCTGTATCACTCCAATAAGAAAATGAAGTGTCTGATATATAATACATTTTCTCACATGATCTGTATTTTTGTGCATTTTAAGGTTTGTATTATGGCAGTTTGGTTGTGTGTGAGAAAGAGAGAGGTGAGGAAAAGAGGATTTAAGATCTAGAATATTTAAAACATTTTTAAAATAATACTTCAAGAAGTTATAATTGGTAGTCATTGGTTATGTAATCAACCTCAGAAAAATACATATCAATAATTTTATTTCTTGGTCTATATATAGGCTTCGACATATAAAGAATTATCGGTTTCTGCCAAACTGGCATTCCAGCTAAGCAAAACTACTTTTTTGTGTCTGTGAATTAACCTGGACAGTTGAACTTTTCACACCTAACAAAGTCAATCATGCCAATTTTTAACTGATAATTACTTTAATTACTAACAATAATGAAGATCCAGTTCTACTTGTTTGACTACACAAAGGCATTTTTTCCAGATCACGAATCGTTCAATTCGTATTTTCAGAGACACCACTTAAAGGGATGATTCACTAAAATATGAAACTTTACTCACCCATTAAGTGGTTCCAAACCCTAGTGTTTTTTCTTCAATTAAACATAAAAAAAAAAAAATTTTTAAGGAAGCTAAAAACCTGTAAACATTGACTTCTTTGCCTCATGTCCACTGAGTGGTACAGTACAATACGGTACGGTTCGGTAGGGTACGGCTATTCTTTATCAGGCTTGTTTCACCACTGATAAAGGGTAACATTAGTACTTGCTTAAAGTGTACACATCGTGAACTAAAACTTCTGGGTGAGGCTACAGAGCACTGTGCACCAGAACACCCTGACACCGAAACAGTTTCTTACTTCAGGCAATCCATCCCATGAACACTTGATGATAATAATTGCAGAACCAACATAACTACTTGCTATACACCTTTATACACTTTATTTAACAGCACACTTTACATGCCAATTTGCACATAACAGCTGCACATATAACGTTGTAAATAATAATATAGCTAGCTGCACATACAGCTTTCATTTTGTATATTTGCATTCACTACTATTTTTAAAATATACTTATCTGTTTTTTGTCCTGTCTCTGTAATTCTATTGCACTGTTGAAGCTATGTCACGAAAACAAATTGCTGGTATGTGTGAACATACCTGGCAATAAAAGTCTTTCTGATTCTGAAATGCCTTATATACATAACTTATGTATAAGTAAATGTTAATTACTAGCCTTTCTATGAACAGAATTTGATTATAGCTGCAGATTAATAACAATTCGAAATGGCCTACTGTGACGTCTGCGAAATGTTACCAATTACAATTAAAAAATGCGCAAAACATAAATCTACCTTATTTGGTTTCATAAATGATACGAAACATACAGTCAGTACATACCTCTCATTTTTATTCTTCACCAGCACATGTAACGTTAACATCTTGTTAAAAAGTAATTCCGTCATTCTGAGTTCATAATAGTCTAAAAGGCGATGATAATAATTGAACATGGCAGTTTGATTATGTATTGGGTTGCTGAAAGAATCATTTGCTCCTTTGTTTTTTCAGGCTTCTCCTTTGTTTTTCCGCACTTCACTCTCGCTGTGAGAATCCGTACTTCAGTAATCGCATCCATGTATCATGAGCTCAAGTTCGTTATTTCAAATATACACTGGCAGAGAGCGCACGCAACCACTCGCACTTTTACATGGCCTCGTTAACAACAACAGGACACAAGGCAGATACTGTTCTTCTTCTTGGCTTTCTGCTGTTCATCAAAACGAGGTCAAGGTTTGTTTGAGCTTAGGGCGACCATGGCTTATGTGTATATATTATTACGGATTAATTCCTCAGCAGTGTATTTAAAAGTGGCGCTTCCTTTGTTTCATTCTCCTGGCTTGTGCATGCCATAGTGACATTTCTCTGTAAACCAATAGTGTTCAGCTGCGCATCTGGCTCCGCCTTTTAGTACCTTTTTGTTGTGCTACGTACCCTTTGGAAAGGGTGACAAAAAATGGTATGTTATGATTTGCTTTTTAGTATTTGACAGTGGAAACGGGCATAAAAGTGTACTGACCCACACCGTAATGTACTACTCAGTGGAAACGGGCAACTATAGTAGCAAATTTAAGTTACAGGTTTCCAGCTTTCTTCAAAATATCTTCTTTTGTGTTCAACAGGGGGAAAAAAGTCATAGCAGTTTGAAACAAGTAAAGAGTGAGTAAACAGTGACAGAAGTTTTATTTTTGGGTGAACTATTACTTTAAGTTTTCAAGTTTCTTGTGCCAGGAAAGAATATTATCAATTTTAACTTAAACTGTAGATATAGGAAGCTTGTGTTTTTTAATCATGATTCAAAAACATGGCCACAAAAGAGCTGCTGTTTGCTTTAATAGATACCATTATGATTGCTAGAGTATTTTGACTGTTTTAAAAGTAATCTTCAGTCATACAAAAGATTCAAAGGTAACTAAGCCGATTGAGAATAATCAAATCATATAGAAGGAAAGGAGAATGTACTGTAGCTACAAATGTAAAATGACTCAATTCCTAAGAGAAGACTGGCGTAACTGTCTGGCCTAGATTGTTGCCTCCTTGGCTTTAACTCTCAGTTTCTCAGCCTAGTTTCTCATTTTATTATTTATATAACTCTAAAACAATAAAATCGGATTTTTAATTTAAGATTATATTAACTGAAATATATTAGGTATAATAGTATATTAACTGAAATATAGTAGGTAAACAAATGCAATAATAAAGAACGCAAAATACTATATGAAGACATTGTGAAACACTTTATAATGGCTCTTAATCATGACAAAACCCTCATGAAAAGAGAAACTTTCATATCAAGGACAACTTTACTGTGTGTGTTTGTGTCTGATATGGGCAAAAGTCCATGTGGCCTAGTGGGTCGATTTCCCAGAGAGTGAGAGACTACTTACAGACCATCTGCTTTCATTGCACATTCACAAAACTGAACAAATCCCATGTGTACATGTGCGTGCGTGTGTGTGTGTGTGTGTGTGTGTGTGTGTGTGTGTGTGTGTGTGTGTGTGTGAGAGAGAGAGAGAGAGAGAGTGTTATCGCAACTCTTGAAGGCCTTAAATGTTTAAAATGACTCTCGCTGTTGAGTCTGTCACTATGAGTGTGTTTTCTAAATCTGTCAGGTTGTTTTTAGGACAGAACCTGATTTCAGGTCTATGCAGAGACATTACATGATTGATGATGTACAGTATATTTAATATACTGTATATTAGGGGTATCAATCGAGATGTATTCGGTATTGATTAGGGCTGCACAGTATATGGTTTTAGCACCGAAATCACAATATTCACATTGCAGAATGTGGAGTCAGGATTATAGTTGATCAGGACCAGTTCAGATCACGTGAGAATTGTGGACTGGTTTTATTTTTAACCATAATAAAGTGAAAGTTTATCAATTGTGTGTGCATGTGTGTGTTTTTTTGAGTCTTTGTTTAACATTTTAAGCAAGTTTAAATATTTGGGCACAAGAAATTATTATATTTGTGGCTTTAGCAAAGATTAATCATATTGGGTTGTTTATATATTGAAGACTATACAGTTTTATTGTACATTTGATTATTTTATTCTGAAACCTGAATACTGTTACACTCCTTCATTTGTATCATTGCTCTACTGTATTTAACTATGCCGGTATTTTCTTATATTTTATGCAAATGCACTCCTCTAAAAAGTCATCCAAATCAATATAAAATATTAATTCTTTCCAAAATGGAGCTATTATATTTATTCTAGTGAAATATTGTGATATAAATAGGAGAATATCTAATTATGGCAGTGTGTGGTTTATTTTCCCCTAAATATCGACTAGCCCTAGTATCGACCATAATAAATTTTTCATTCTAAAAGGGGTGCTGCAACATAAAAATGACAAACATGATATTTAAAAATAAATCTTACTCATAAACTAAAACGTAAAGCTTTCCAGGAAATCCCTAACACGAACACAGACTGTACATACAAATGTTTTGATTCATGAAATCCAGAGATCCAGCTCACGATTGCAAAAATGTGATTATCTGTGTTCTTCAAGCCATTTTAGGTGTTTTATAAGGCAATGCACATTTATTATGTAATGTCAATCCCCTAATCACTGTAGTGTGTATGGGTGTCCAGATCCAAACAAACGGTTTCAGACTTCATCAGAATCGGCAAAGTAGAACATGGAAGCAGCTTATAGCAGAAAACGCAAGTATTTCTGTGGTCTGGAGGTATTATAATGTTGATGACGACAACATTGCCATAGCCAACTGTGAGATATGTACACTTGTGATTACCTACTGATTCAGGTGCTATTTGTTTTTAAATTCGATAAGTATTTATATATATATATATATATAAATATATATTTGTGTGTGTGTGTACTCAAGTCCAAAAGTGAAGAATTAATGTTATTTATTACTTGATTGTTCAAGCTACCTCAGAAGTGCAGACTTGTTGAATGTTAAAATATTGTGAATTAAATAAAAAATAAGGAACATCCTGGATCTTTTTTATGCATTATAGAAGTATCTGAATGCGTTTCGATATCGGTAGATACTCAAAATCAAATGATTTCGACTTGGATTCACTCAGGTTTTTGGGGCACAAAAAACCTGATCGGGACATCCTTAGTAGTGTATAGAATAGGCTACTATTAAAATATGATTTCTGCCTTATTCTGTAAAAGATACTTGTTTAATGAAGGAATTTATTTTTCACTGAGGCTGTAGCTGTAGCTATTGTCAAAAACTGATGCATTTTGAAGGTTTTAAGTGTTCCTTTTTTTTTTTTTAATGCAGTGATGCAATGCATTGGCCAAATAAAAAAAGAGATCCATTGGACTTGCTTTTTACTATGCTGTTAATGTTTCTATATATAGTACATTATTTTGGCCTTGATAATCGCATAGATTGCATTACTGATCATTTACTGTAAAGCATACACTAAATTATTAGTAACAACGCACTAAAAGTGTTTTTTAGTTTTTCAATGTTGGCCCAAATGTGTTGATTTTGAATAAGTCAGAGAAATATTTATATACGTCTCTTCTTAGGTCCTAATTTGGCCTTGGTCCTGTACGTTTGGTGACATTTAAATGCTAGGGGTCGGTAAGAATTTTCAAAATATTTAATGTGGTAAAAATAGTAATGTTGTGAACCTCTGATACAATTTAAAGTAACTTTTATTTGGAAATATTGTAAAATGCATTTTACACCTGTGCCAGCAAAGATGCACTCTCACCACTTTCTTTTCAGTGTCACACAATTTCTCAGAAATCCTTTAATAATGACAATTTGATGCTCAAAAATAATAATAATCAAATAATACTTTGTTTTATTCAATTTTATATATTTTTTGTTCTCATTTTAATATATATTTTAACCTGAATGTTTTACTATAACCAATTTAAAACTCTTGCTGAATGAAAGCATTCATTTATGGAGAAAAGTGTTGATTTTAGTAATATAATATAAAGTATAATATAAGAATGCATGTACAGAATGTTTCAACTTAAATTAAGGTATGTGAGATTTCATATTTAATTTCATAATGTATTATTTGTTTAATGTTAATTGAATGTGAAACACAATACTGCCTCATTAAAATATTCTCACTATATTATATTTTAATAAGGCTATTATTACTTTGGCTGACTTGACCAATTCCTTTAGCCACTGGGTCAAAGTTTGCTCTAAGCCCCCTTTATCTGTGTTCTAGCCTGGCAACAGGTGGGTTAAAGTTGTGCATTCAGCAGCAATCTCCACAACTGCACAGCAATAAACAGAGCAATCTGGACTTTGCCAGTGGACTATAGTCTGTGATTCTGGAAATACGACACAGGGTATGTCCACACACACATATGCATAGAGTGATACGGGGTCACTGTGCACCCAGGAATCAGATAGAGAGGCTCAACAGCTAAAATAACAAGCAGTCCTTGTGATCTGCATGATGTGTATTCAGTCAATAAATTTGATAAAGCAGCTGCTTGTATACAGTGCCCTGAAGGGATAGTTCAACTAAAAATGAACATGCTGTCACTTACTCTGCTTACACTCATTTCTAACTTGTCTTATAATTCTATTTTCCACTAATTGCAGACAAATACATTTTTGAAGTATGTTGGAAGCCATTGACTTTCATTACAATAGATGACAATAGCTACCTCCTCCCAACATTCTTTAAAATATCTTGTCCAGGGTAAAAATAGACTCATAAAGGTTTTGTACGTACTTGAGAGAGATTAAATGAGTTCATTTTCATGTTTGGGTAGACTATCACTAGATATCTACATTCAGAAATACAAGTACAAAAGCTGTTACTGTATCTTTTTACACACGTTTGTGCCTAAAGTGAACGTATAGAGTACAAAAGAGAACATTTTAAACAGGTACCACAACCGTGATAGCTTCTGTACCTGTATTGCTGACAGTGTACCACCTCCATAATGCATTATTTACTCAATAAACTGATAAATATTTACAATATGCGTTACAGTCAGTATCACCGAAAGTGTTGCTGTCCGAAGTGTGATTGTTTATTTTTAACCCTGACGTGGCAGAGCATTTAAATAGAATGAAACACGTCACGCTGTCACTCAAAGTTTTGCTTGTGCCCGAAACTCACCTCCTCTGTAGCCGTGGGGCTGTAATACACGAGAATGACCGTCGTTATTACGTTAATAACCAGTCCGATGGTGGTCAGCGTGTTCGGCGCGACCCACGTTGGAATCTGCTGGACCAGCCAGTTCCAGTATATCTGACAGGGCGGCTCGAAGAGAGATCGCCCGGCCGCGCTGTACTTGTGCTCCTCCAGGCGCTTGAGCTGGACAGCGGACAGGGGCTCCGGACACTCGCACTGGGGCATTATGAGCGCTCTTTTGGCAGGGTTAGTGCACGCTTTTGGTCCAAATAGCCTGGTGTCCACTTAGAAGAAGGCATTAGAATGCGGCGTTTACGTGTGGAGAGTCATTTTGGGTGAGCGGAAACGACAGTCTCCTCCGTTCCTAATAGTTGAAAGCAGATAAACGGAGAGGAGCAGGAAACAGCAGTCCGGAAGAGGACAGAGCCGGGAAATTTGAACAGCTCCGGTGGCGCGTCTCACCGCCAGGGGCGCCGGTTTACTGTCGGTGCTTACAGTACTTAGTTTTGTACCTAAACAACTTTTTATTTATATTAAATATTAATATTATTCATAAAAAAACTTAATTTCAAAGTTTAAAAATATTACATGTAAAGAAAACATACCCAAAACACACTATATAAAAATACTATAGCAATTTGTAGTTGGCCTACAGTATTTCTGAACCAGACTCTAGTGCAGGGGTTCCCAAACTCAGCCCACGACCCCCAAAATAACAGTTTCAGTGACTCGCGACCCCCAATATCCTCTGATGTGGTTATAAATACAGTATATAAACCTTGCACACAACGGCGCACACATACCAATAGGCCCAAGTCCATTCATCATTTTATTTTGCCACTAGGAGATCATCCTCCATGTTAAGTTGTGGCCTGTATTCATTTTTTTGAAGTTGTCAGAAAGGTGAACCTGGTGCCAAAAAAAACTTACATGCTGTGTCTTTAATAAAATGTAATCACCCGAGGGGTCGCAAAAATTGAAAGGCAGATGGCTTTTTATTTAAATACTGTTTTTTTAATTTAATTATTAACTCTATATTTGTTTCTTCTGTAGGTTATGGATAAAATATGGTAATTGTAATAGTTAAAAAAAAAATTATTCGATTTTTAAAAGCAACCCCCCCTCCCATTATTATTATATTAAACATACAAAATATAAACTTTATAACCCGAAACAACATTACGCACGCATATTGACATACAGCTGTTCTGTGTCAGTTGAATTAGTTGACTGTTGAATTTCACATTTTTTAACCAAACTGGTTGAGTTATTAAATAAATAACCCAACAAAGCACCAAATATTTTTATCTCAACTATTGAGTTGAATAATTAAATTAACATTTTCAGAGTGTACAGTTGAAGTCAGAATTATTAGCCCCCCTGAATTATTACACCCGTTTATTTTTTTCCCCCAATTTCTGTTTAACGTAGAGAAGATTTTTTTTCAACACATTTCAAGACATAATAGTTTTAATAACTTATTTCTAATAACTGATTTATTTTATCCTTGCCATGATGACAATAAATAATATTTTACTAGATATTTTTCAAGATACTTCTTTACAGCTTAGAGTGACATTTAAGGCTTAACTAGGTTAATTAGGTTAACTAGGCAGGTTAGGGTAATTAGGCAAGTTATTGAATAATGATGGTTTGTTCTATAAACTATATAAAAAAAAAAAGCTTAAATAATTTTCTAATAATTTGTATAGAAAAAGGTGTTTAAAAAATTAAAAACTGCTTTTATTCTTCCCGAAATATAACAAATAAGACTTTTTCCAGAAGAAAAAATATTATCAGACATACTGTGAAAATTTCCTTGCACTGTTAAACATAATTTGGGAAATATTTGAAAAAGAAAAAAAATTCAAAGAGGGGCTATTAATTCTGACTTCAGCTTTATACAAATCCTCATTTGAATGAATCAAAATTCATTTTAATAAAGACTTTATATCGTTGACCTCACATTTGTTTTGTTACTATCAAATTTATGACATATACCATAGGTTAACCACTGCACGTGTTTTTGGTTAAAAACAACTATTTTTGTTTGCCGCACAAGCATACCAAACTTGTTGTATTTCTTGAAATAGGTGTACCACAACACAGCTATTTTTAATCTTAAATGAATAACAACAAAGAAGCGATCAGATCCTAAATTGCAATCTGCAACAAAATATTGTATAAGTATTTTAAAACAAAAAAGCAACAGTAGTTTTCCCTATAGGGACATTTATTCACCTGTCATGCTAAAATGAACATGTACTCGACAAACACATCGTCTCTATATTTCTCTCTGATGTCTGATCCGACAGTTGCGCAGAACCGATATTGCAAATCTAAGTAATTTTCAATACATTCATGAGAATGAAGAATACATTTTTGGAAAACTCAAAGCAGTCAGGAAAAAAAAGAAAAGAAAATCAGAAACAGCAAACCCCCCTAGACTTGTGCTCAGTTTGGCTCACCCTCATGTTCCACACCCAGAAAGTCATAAATGAAATGCATATACACCATATCTGTACCAGGCTGCTCTATGTCTCTCACAATACAATGTCTATTTGTGATTAAAGCTACAATCCAGTTTACTAAAGTCATGCATCCCATTGGCAATTTTGAAAACGGTGACAGCAACTACAGATCTGAACACAGCATGCCATGGCAACTTTCTGACACATGTGCCATTGTTTGTAGTAGTGACAGGGATTTCTGGTGCAATAATAGGGCGAATCAGTCATCAGTCCGATCCCTTCTTCTCTGACTCAGAGGTCTTAGACTCGTTCATGTATTTATCAATGAGGTGTAAGGGAACGCCTCGCTTCATCAGCTCAAAGAATGTAAAACCTCCTGGAAGAGGGAAAGATGAGGACAGTCAGAGACATGACACTTAAATGATGACATAAAGAAACACAGAATTGTTCTTTACATGTGTATATGCTGCTGCAAGAGGCATTTAGGCAGGTAAAACACATCTCAAAATATCTGAATGTCCTCACATAACAAAATAACCAACCTAGTAATATTTAAAGAAATGCAAGCCAGTTTTCAAGCAGAATAGTTCACAAAACAACTGATTTTTAAATTAACAAAATATAAAGTATTGCTAATTTTCATGCTAGTTAAGCACATCAACACAAAACTACTTTGCTTAGTTTTTGAAATATGCTGCTGAAGGTTCTGAAAAACATTACATTTTAATTAAAATATGCGTAATACTGTTTGGTAACACTTTTTTAAAGGTGTCTTGCGCAAGTTTTATATTCTTACTATTGTTATTACAATTAATTATGCATAGTTACATGTAACTAACCCTAAACATTCCCAGCAAACTGTATAATAAGTGCATGTTATTAATTAATATTACTCTGTAGTTAAATAAATTGTTACACTATAACAAGGACACAATAAAATAAGCTGTAACCCATTATTTTACAGTGTTCTTCCTACATGTAACAAGTATTTAAAATAATAACCATCCTTTATGCATAATTACAGGCAATAGCCCAGAAACAAATTTGTACCCTACTAATATCAATTGCATGTACAATTACACTATAACCAGAATTTTTGTCATATACAATGTAACCATTCGTGTATATATACATTTGCAAAGTTTAGAACATCTACAAATACATGAACTTGAGCTACTTGACAACTTGAATGTTATATTGAATACAGCAAAGTAAGAGCGCCTCGTTAACACATTTTAAGCAACCTCAAGTAAAGAAAAAAGTGTTTCAAATGTCTTTTGTGCCAACTGCTATTACAATTTTAAATACTGGGTTGTAAATCGGGTTAACTGAGTTTTTAATGTGAGTTATGGGATGATATTGATGTCTACAGTCTGTTGCAATATGGGCCGTGTGGCCCAATGGTAGTGGTGAGATGACATTAATCTGGATTTTTCTGTATGCTGTTGCAGATTCTCAGTTTATGCCAGTTCTTGTGGAATAACTACTTGAGTAAAAACAAAAAGGAGCATACAGTAATACAATAAGTATTTTTGAAACTTTATATTTTTTTTGTGACTATCTTTCAAACCAATTTTGTCAGCAAAAGATTGAATTCAAAATTCAGTATTATCGCTTATTTATTTATTTTTTTTTACATAAATGATTGGATTGGAATGATTATGTGATTGGATATTATTTTACTCATCTTTGACTTTATTTTTGTGAAATATGTATGATGTAAACGATGATGTAGTTGAAGTTAAAGATAAATTTCCACTAGTGGACAATAAAGTAAAACACAACCAAATATTATTTAAACAACAATTTAAATAAATTTCACCTCAATAGTCTCAAACTTAAACTCTCTTTAAGTGGCTTTCAATTTCATAAATATATAATTGGTCTATATATTATTAGCTTTTTTTACACTACAATACACTACAAGTGTGCATGCAATACAAGAAGTGCACTTAATTTTGACAAGGATCAGCTTGATATTTTGTAATGAAATGACATTCAGACAATTATAAGAGCAACTTAAGTATTTCCAAAGAGACAGAAAAGGTATTCACAGACAAAGATAAAGAGAGAGAGAAAGAAAGAGAAGGAAATCTTCTGGGAGTACATAACTATCTTATGTTTTGGCAAATTAAATGCTTAACCATATGAATTTGTACAAAATGTAAGATTCTTAAAAGACAAAAACATGACAAAATCATATTAATGAGACTGTGTGAATTCATATGGAGAAGCCCCTGATTCACCAAAACATAAAACAATTACGGAATGCCATGAAACTGTGTTTAAAAATCAGGATAGTTTGTGAGTGTTTGCCAGGTGCAGTGCAAATGATGAGGCAGTGAGTGCAATCATGTTTGTGCAAGCTTTTTCAGCTATCCAGCCGCTCATAACTCATTTCATCGCTGCATGTCATCTTTTCTTATTGAAGCATGTTGAGCTGTGAAGGCAGTTGGTTGAAAGTGCTCTAAATTAAGCTGCATTATGCAATATGATCACAGTTATAAATATACAAAGCACACAGTGGAAGCATCTGCAGAAGGAGTGTTGCTGGGGCAGAGATGCAAGTCTTGACTTTGTTTTGAATCTGACTCCTTGATCTCAAGATAAATTTTTCATTATTTTGAGTGAAATATAAATTAGTAGTTTCTAAAGTGCCCCTATATGCTTTTTTGAACATCACAGTTAATATAGGGTGTAATATAGCAGATTGGGACGGTCTGCACATTTCCAAAATGCACAATAAATGGAGTTATTGACTCTGATTGAGTGAACCGATTCTGGAAAAGAGTTCTTACTAAGTACAATCTTAAACCACAGATACGGCACTTTAAGCTCCATAAATACACTTTTAGATACACCCATAGACTTTCTGACCAATAGTACACAGGAATATGTCAGATCGAAA